TTTGCATTGTGATATATATACCTGTTTGCATTGTGATGTATATACCTGTTTACATTGTGATATATATACCTGTTTACATTGTGATGTATATACCTGTTTACATTGTGATGTATATACCTCTTTACATTGTGATATATATACCTGTTTTCATTGTGATATATATTCCTGTTTACATTGTGATATATATCCCTGTTTACATTGTGATATATATTCCTGTTTACTGTGATATATATACCTGTTTACATGGTGATATAAATACCTGTTTACATTATGATATATATATACCTGTTTACACTGTGATATATATACCTGTTTACATTTTGATATATATATACCTGTTTACACTGTGATATATATACCTGTTTAAATTGTGATATATATACCTGTTTACGTTGTGATATATATATACCTGTTTCCATTGTGATATATATACCTGTTTGCATTGTGATGTATATACCTGTTTACATTGTGATTTATATCCCTTTTTACATTGTGATATATATATACCCGTTTACATTGTTATATATATACCTGTTTACATTGTGCTGTATATACCTGTTTACATTGTGATGTATATACCTCTTTACATTGTGATATATATACCTGGTTACATTGTGATATATATATACCTGTTAACATTGTGATATATATATACCTGTTTCCATTGTGATATATATACCTGTTTACATTGTGATATATATACCTGTTTACATTGTGATATATATATACCCGTTTACATTGTGATATATATACCTGTTTACATTGTGATTTATATACCTGTTTACATTGTGATATATATATACCTGTTTACATTGTGATATATATACCTGTTTACATTGTGATATATATATACCTGTTTACATTATGATATATATATACCTGTTTACATTGTGATATATATACCTGTTTACATTGTGATATATATACCTGTTTACATTGTGACAGCCCTAGCTAACTTACATCAAAATGTGTACTACTTTAATGTGTGCTCTATTTGTGGGTATCCACATTATACAGGGTATCCACATTATACAGGGTATCCACATTATACAGGGTATCCACATTATACAGGGTATCCACATTATACAGGGTATCCACATTATACAGGGTATTCACATTATACAGGGTTTCCAGTTCAGACACCATATACAATATCACCTATCCAAACTGTATAACTAGCTGGTTCTAATACCTCTGGTAAAAGCAGCTTTCTATTGGTTGACTGATGATCATACTACATGTAGGTTAATTGTGCTCTGTAAAGTTTGATAAAAGATTTGTGTTTTACGTGTGATTTGTTCAGGGTGATCTAAATGGCCCTAGGAGACAATGTAATTATCTTTGTTATGTTATGTCCATATACATGTATGATAGTAATATAACAGGAGGACCAATAACCTTTGATATACATCATCAGGCTGATAAATCATCATTATTTGGAATAAATATTGGGAGATATGCTCCTGACAAACAGTTGGGGTGGTAGGATGGACAGAACATGTCATATGAAGTTTGCAGACAGATATTATACAAATTTGTTTACATTATGGTACCTCCCATCACGTACAACCGATGTGATGACAACCTCAATAGAATTGAGTGACAAAGCTGTCCATGTTAGTTTTGTATATATATTGACTACTGTGTGGGTATAACAGGAAATCCTTTATGTGTGGTTAATCAATTGTTAAGTGGTCATGAAAAAGATAATACGTAGAATTGGCACAACCTAGAAATATGTCAAAATGGGCAATGATATATCATTATAATATATATATAGTATACCTTCAAATACAGAAAGAAACTATACGTTTCCATTCTATTGTGTCAGATAGCACAGTTCTAAGATACAATGTACCAAGAATTAAATGAACAATACACAGTATATTTAAATAGTTGTGAAAGCAATGAAGATTTATGGTTATTGTATCTAACCTATTTCAGACTTTTATAACTTAGAATGAACAGAATTCAAGACAAGTCATGATACGCTGGTTACCCATCACTCCATCAGTCTACAAGATAATGTTAATCTGACAACCCTGGGTTAACCATCAGTCTACACAATAACGTTAATCTGACAACTCTGGGTTAACCATTAGTCTAATCTGACAACCCTGGGTTAACCATCAGTCTTCACAATAATGTTAATCTGACACCCCTGGGTTAACCATCAGTCTTCACAATAATGTTAATCTGACAACCCTGGTAACCATCAGTCTTCACAATAATGTTAATCTGACAACCCTGGGTTAATCATTAGTCTACACAATAATGTTAATCTGACAACCCTGGGTTAACCATCAGTATACACAATAATGTTAATCCAACAACCCTGGGTTAACCATTAGTCTACACAATAATGTTAATCTGACAACCCTGGGTTAACCATTAGTCTAATCTGACAACCCTGGGTTAACCATCAATCTACACAATAATGTTAATCTGACAACCCTGGATTAACCATCAGTCTACACAATAAAGTTAATCCGACAACCCTCGGTTAACCATCAGTCTACACAATAATGTTAATCTGACAACCCTGGGTTAACCATAAGTCTACACAACAATGTTAATCTGACAATCCTGGGTTAACCATCAGTCTACACAATAAGGTTAATCCGACAACCCTCGGTTAACCATCAGTCTACACAATAATGTTAATCTGACAACCCTGGTAACCATCAGTCTTCACAATAATGTTAATCTGACAACCCTGGTAACCATCAGTCTTCACAATAATGTTAATCTGACAATCCTGGGTTAACCATCAGTCTACACAATAATGTTAATCTGACAACCCTGGGTTAACCATTAGTCTAATCTGACAACTCTGGGTTAACCTGGCTTTGTAGCTCGGTTTCTTTAACTTTTTTACCCTAAGTTTTACCATAGCTGCCAACCCTCCCTCATTAGGAGCGAGATCCTGCTCATTGGAGGTTTCAGAGGTTGACACCTATGTTTCACATTTAGATACATGTTACGTGTATATGCTTTCAATAATATATGGTTGACCCACATGTATCCCTCTGATCTATTTCTAGACAAGTAGCTGGTTGTAAATGGACAATCTAATTTGTGTACAATTTATGAGCAGATGGTGTCTAATGTTATTTGCTGCATATATAACTAAAGGTACATTGTAAGATAAGCAATGTACCTGTAACGTTATGCTGCCTTGCAGTCTTCCTGTTGCTACATGTATGTACTTCCTGTTGCTACATGTATGTACTTCCTGTTGCTACATGTATGTACTTCCTGTTGCTACATGTATGTACTTCCTGTGCCAAGTACTTATACTAACATTCGTGCAAGTTTGATATAAAGCAATTGTCTGTCTGAGTGGGTACTCATAATCTACAAATTCATGTACCCACGAAATGGTGGTTTGTTTGGAAACCATTAGATTTGGGCTCCACCCTTTGCAGTAACCTTAAACAGCAACAGTACACAGTTTAATAGTAATTTATACATTTTTCACTAAAGCCTTATGAAGCCAGCCCCGATTATTTGTGCATTAGGTAAATATATACAATTTTGCTAACTGATATCCAATTTCATTAAGATAACTGGAGGAGGAGCCAATTGATTTAAAGCACCTGTACGTGTAACAGGCCAAATGTCCTACATGCCATACAGCGTAGACATGTAAAAACTGATAAACCTGTTAATATTTTGCTGTCCTTCCTTTGATGATACCAGCGTGAGTATAACTGTGTATAAGACCTAGAGGATCAGCAGCTATAGAGGAACTAGTTTGATTGTCTACCTCTCTCAGTCTAAACACTTTTTTACCGCTGGTGTTCTCAAGTTTCTATTTCAATTATGTGGTATTGGTTCTTAGCAGAGATTTTTTTTATCTTTCTCAGTGAACAAATTCTATTACAAACATAATCTTCCACATTTTCACAGCGTCTACTATCAAGATCATGCTCCAAAATGTATCTTCTTAATTCAGATGTGTATAGTTCTGAGCTGCCTGTCTTAATTCAGATGTGTATAGTTCTGAGCTGCCTGTCTTAATTCAGATGTGTATAGTTCTCAGCTGCCTGTCTTAATTCAGATGTGTATAGTTCTGAGCTGCCTGTCTTAATTCAGATGTGTATAGTTCTCAGCTGCCTGTCTTAATTCAGATGTGTATAGTTCTGAGCTGCCTGTCTTAATTCAGATGTGTATAGTTCTCAGCTGCCTGTCTTAATTCAGATGTGTATAGTTCTGAGCTGTCTGTCTAAATTCAGATGTGTATAGTTCTCAGCTGCCTGTCTTAATTCAGATGTGTATAGTTCTGAGCTGCCTGTCTTAATTCAGATGTGTATAGTTCTCAGCTGCCTGTCTTAATTCAGATGTGTATAGTTCTGAGCTGCCTGTCTTAATTCAGATGTGTATAGTTCTCAGCTGCCTGTCTTAATTCAGATGTGTATAGTTCTGAGCTGCCTGTCTTAATTCAGATGTGTATAGTTCTGAGCTGCCTGTCTTAATTCAGATGTGTATAGTTCTCAGCTGCCTGTCTTAATTCAGATGTGTATAGTTCTGAGCTGCCTGTCTTAATTCAGATGTGTATAGTTCTCAGCTGCCTGTCTTAATTCAGATGTGTATAGTTCTCAGCTGCCTGTCTTAATTCAGATGTATAGTTCTGAGCTGCCTGTCTTAATTCACATGTGTATAGTTCTGAGCTGCCTGCCTTAATTCAGATGTGTATAGTTCTGAGCTGCCTGTCTTAATTCAGATGTGTATAGTTCTCAGCTGCCTGTCTTAATTGTTTTTTTAAAAACTGACATTTTGCCTTTCACACTGCACTTTTGATTTTATATAGCTGCGGAGTAATCCATGCCAGCAGCAAATAACATTGTTATACAGTGTACCACCAATAGTGTTTGAAATCCTTTCCACATAGCCTGCAATGTTTAAAGGTCGTAAAGCCCTTAAGGTCTTTTTTCACTATAAAACTTTAATTCTGTTTTAAACTGATGTGCCTGTAGCTACATTAATTTGATACTTACCCATTTTCCAAAATTGTCAGACAGACAACTTCTTTAACGCCAATATTATCTGCTTTTTCTGATGAAAATCGCTCAATATTCCAAGAAGCTAAACGAACAGCATGCCGCTTTTTTCTCTTGAATAAAAATGGTGTTACATTTGGCCTCCTAGAATTTTTCACAATTGGCTTTATGATATCCAGAATATTTTCTACTGAAGCCGTCAGTAGCCGCGGCTGACTATTGTCTAACCCCGGACCTCTTGTTTCAGGGGGAGACACTCTATTTGCCAAGTCCCCATTTAACTCTGATTTGGGTTCGGAACTCTCCTCTGAAGGAGGAGCACTTTCTTCCACTGTCACTTGATGCCTTATTGCACTTAATACTGATGGGCCAATGCCCTTGACCTTGACTAAATCCTCCACTGTTGTATAGGGACCTTTTTTGTCCCTGTAAGTCACAATATTCTCAGCTAGCGTTTGTCCAACACCTTTTATTTTCATCATTTGGAAAACGTTGGAGGTATTGATGTTAGTTAAGATTGGAACATTTGCTGCCTTTTTTGGCTGTTCCTTGTTTAGATGAGCTACAGACAGATCCTGTTTGCTGCTACTCAGAGAACTTCCTCGTGACGAGCTGGTAACACTCGTATTTGCTGATTTTTTTGACACACATATTTCATTCCTGATGACATTTAATTTTGTAGCACCAACTCCAGATACGAGAGCTAAATCTTCGACTTTCTTAAATCCCCCTATTTGTCTTCGATATTCAATAATATTCTGTGATGTTGCCCTATTAATTCCAGGCAGTGTCATAAGTTCTTCTTCTGTAGCAAAATTGATATTGATCAGATTTTGAAGTGGATCCTCTTCTACCAAGGACAAATTGAAGGTTGCACTTAAATTGCGCTTGTGACCTTTGCCCTTTGGGGTCTTGGTATGGTTTTCACCACAGTCACTTCCTGTGTGGCGAGGAATGCAACAGCTGTTGACAGCACCCATCTTACTTCAGATGACAGTTAATTAAAATCAGTAAGGTTAACTACTAGTTCAACAAATACATTGTACAGTGCCAGGACACAGGCAACTTTTACAAGTCTATGATAGGTACAGTAACTTCTTCCCATACATGATGAACAATAGGAGTCAAACTAATAAACATATTTTTCCGCTACCGGTACATGTCAATGACTGCATGTCCGTACATTATTGTTTTGTCACTCACACACACCCTACAGTTGTCAATGTTTTTGCCTGTACATACTCTCCATACTGTTACATCTAGTAGTTGCTGATCAGCATGTATACTTGTTATTCCACCTGTGCCTAGCCAGCTTTCATTCACTTGGTTCAGTGGTCCCGGTTAATCTGTGTGTACCGAGGCTCTCACAGACAGGATTATATGCTGTACAAATCAATGGTTGGTAGGTAATCAGGTCACTCACTGTGTCCTCTGATCAGGTCCTCATCGTCCTCCTCAGGGCCAGCTTACCTTGACATACCTGTGTAAAGATACAAAACAGGTGCGTTAAAAAGGTTTTGATGTCAGATGATGGAAGGTCATAATCCAATCAATAGACAAACACACCTGCTTTGGTACAGAAGCTGGCTGTCATATAATTGTGTCTGTATATATGTCTGAAATATATCAGCAATAAGTTAGATAAATATTTATACACATGCATTGATAAGCACAGAGCAACACTCATCAGACATGAGGGGTGCCTATGTTTCTTACCTGTAACCCTGACACCCGTAACCTGTATTTATTTACCTGCAACCCTGATACCTGTAACCTGTATCTTACCTGTAAACTCGACACGTGTCGACATGTGTCCAACCCTTTAACTTCTGCTGATGAGATGACAAAGCATGAAGTCATCACCCACACTGTCAATTCAAACAATTATGACATATACACTGATTAGCCAAGAATCAGAACAACATTTCTCACCATTAAGTCCAAATCGAAGATACGGAACAGCATCGAAAATACCAAGCTGCAGTACTGTGAGGAGTGGTTACCAGCTATCCTATATATACTGACATAGCTTAGTCACTCAGTATCACAAGAGAGTGGTTGTACAGGGAACAAGCACTTCACTTTGTTTATCCATCACACATATTACACTATTAAAGGGGTGAACATGCCTGTCCACTAGAGTGTAGCTGTTCTTTATAACTATACACACAGACAACTTGCAATTTGTTGCATACAATTTCTTCACAACTGTATGGTATATTTTCAATACACACCTTAACCCTTTCACCACTAGTACTGCAGACCTTATTAATGGATTCATCCATATCAATGCATGGTTAACAGAAATCTAATTTGATATGTCAGGGTTTTTGCTAGGTGTTTATATTTATAGGGTCCAGTACAGGGACCAATTCCCAATTGAAAAAAGACCCTGTATTTTCCCAATTTCAGTCTTTATGTTCCCAACTAGATAAAAAAAAAAAAAAAAACATGTTTATACAAGTACCCAGTCGTTATATGTCGTTATATGTGCAATGTTCAACGTATAACCGTCTATGAAAGAGCATTCAAAATACATAAACGAAAAATACTGAAAATGTGTTTATTTATTGCTATACTTTTCACTGTAAGAAACAGCTATAGGAATTTATTTTGCAAATCACATTGTAGGTTTTATTTCTCAAAACTTATGATATTTTTTCCGAACTTGTGCCATGTGGGAACACTGCTGATATTTCTCAATTTTTGCCAAATGCAGATGATATTTTCCCCAATTCCTGCTCAGGAGCTCTTTCCCAAAATAGCTGGCAAAAACCCTATACATGTATGTGCACTTCAACGGTACTCTATGGCAATCTCCTTTTGCATCAACTTTATTTAATCATAACTTGAAAAGTTACATGTCTATAAAAGTAAGATGACTTGGTCATAGCCCTCCCACCTGTCTACCTGTGTGTTACACTGTACATGTATACTGGGCCACACCCCTCCCACCTGACTATGTACATTGTACAGGTATACTACATTGGCCTACTGCACACTCTTGTCCTTTGATCAATGGTGTAGTTAGGTGTGGTTTATTTGATCGCTAGACAAAATTGATTCTGTCCGGAATCTAGATCCATGTCACAGAATGAAAGTCTTCAGAGAGTGGAATATAGCAGTAGTCGTATCTGTGTGTGTGTGTGTGTGTGTGTGTGTGTGTGTGGGGGGGGGTCTACCAACCAATTATACAAAATTGAGACCCCTTGGCTCAAGGATGCTCCAGACTAAGTAAGGATAAAATCCCTTAATCCCTATGGTAGAAGGATTTAAAGGTTTTACCTCTATTTTCCATTTTGGGCCCCGCCTCTCTGCCTCCAGGGGGGTTAGACACACTGTTTATACAAAATTGGTTCCCCTTCACCCAATGATGCTTCATACCACATTTGGACAAAATCCAGTCATTTGTACAGAAGAAGAAGATATTTGAAGAATTTGCTATGTTTCCCATATTGGGCCCCTCCCTTCTGCTCCAAGGGGTGCCACACTCGCTGTTTATACGAGTTTGAGTCCCTTTTGCCCAAGGATGCTCCAGACTAAATTAGGATAAAAACCCTTAATCCCTATGGTAGAAGAAGGATTATAAAGGATTTACTTCTATTTCCCCTATTGGGCCCCGCACTTCAGGTCCTAGGGGGACCACAACCTCTGTTTATACAAAATTGGTTCCCCTTCACCCAAGGATGATTCAGACCAAATATAGAACAAATCCTTTCATTCTTACAAAAAAAAAAAGGATTTTAAAGAATTTGCTATGTTTCCCCTATTGGGCCCCGACCCTCAGGCCCCTATGGGGCCAGATCCATGGTTTATACAAAATTGGTTCCCCTTTACCCAAGGATGCTTCAGACCAGATATGGAACAAATCCTTTTATTCCTACAGAAGAAGAATGATTTTAAAGAATTTGCTATATTTCCCCTATTGGGCTCCGACCCTCAGGCCACTCAGGGGCCAGACCTCCAGTTTATACAAAATAGTTCCCATTTACCCAAGGATGCTTCAGACTAAATATGGAATAAATCCTTTAATTCCTACAGAAGAAGAGGGATTTTAAAGAATTTACTATGTGTTCCCTATTGGGCCCTGCCCCTCAGGCCCCTCAGGGGCCAGACCCACGGTTTATACAAAATTGGTTCCCCTTCAACCAAGGATGCTACAGACCAAATATGGAACAAATCCTTTCATTCCTACGGAAGAGGAGGGATTTTAAAGAATTTATTATGTGTTCCCTATTGGACCATGCCCCTCAGGCCCCTTAGGCGGCCAGACCCACGGTTTATACAAAATTGGTTCCCCTTCAACAAAGAATGATTCAGACCAAATATGGAACAAATCCTTTCATTCCTACAGAAGAAGAAGGATTTTAAAGAATTTGCTATATTTCCCCTATTGGGCCCCGCCTCTCAGCCCCCAGGGGGGCCAGACCCACCATTTATACAAAATTGAGTCCCCTTGGCCCAAGGATGCTCCAGACTAAATTAGGATAAAATCCCTTCATCCCTACGGTAGTAGAAGGATCCTTAAGGTTTTACCTCTATTTCCCCTATTGGGCCCCGCCCCTCTGCACCCAGGGGGGCCACACCCACCGTTTATACAAAATTGAGTCCCCTTGGCCTAAGGATGCTCCAGACCAAATTTAGTCAAAATCTACTTGGCTGTTCAGGACGAGTAGCGTTTTAAAGGAAAAGTTGATGGACGGACGGCGGACGCTGCGGTATGGCATAAGCTCACCATGGTACCAGAGTTAAAAACATCCTTACATAGGACATGTAGACTCACAATCTTATCCCGCGATTATCTGTCCAGTACTCTATGTCTCGCTCACACACGCAGGCATACACACATTGGGAGATATTAGCCAGGTGGCACAGGACTAGTAGTTAGCGCCTGATAAAGTAGTTCCAAAGAATTCCTCAAAAATTGAATTGATTAAAGAATATGATAGTTGTATTGGTTGTATAAATTGTATGTCTATGTACTGTAAAGCCCTTTAGAATGGCCTATTCTAGCTAGATAGGGCGCTATATCAAATGTTGTATATGATTATTATTACATGTACATTGTATAAAATTCAGTGACAATTCCCCAATACTATCCATTAGCATCTTATATAATTCAGTGACAATTTGCCAATACTATCCTTTAGCAATGTCTATAATTCAGTGATAATTTGCCAATATGTGTACTATCCTTTAGCAATGTCTATAATTCAGTGATAATTTGCCAATACTATCCTTTAGCAATGTCTATAATTCAGTGATAATTTGCCAATACTATCCTTTAGCAATGTCTATAATTCAGTGACAATTTGCCAATACTATCCTTTAGCAATGCCTATAATTCAATGATAATTTGCCAATTCTAACCTTTAACAATAATAAATAAATAAATATACAACATTTGATATAGCGCCCTATCTAGCTAACATAAGCCACTCTAAAGCGCTTTAGAATATGACAAATATGACATGTTATGAAACTTTATCTTAATTGTATTTGTAACTATGTAATATGTGATTGCCATTAGTACCTGTCAGAAACGAAATCAAAATACTGCATTTTCAGATAATCTGTAAATAATGTATCTCACACAACAAGGCAAAATAGTCAGTAGTTCTACTAGTATTCAAAGTAATCTATTGTCTCCAACCTGTGGAAAAACTGAGATATTACTCGACAAAGTGACGAACAGTGAGCAAAGGGCTATAACTCTGTATACAGTGGTCGGGTTTGTTCATACTTTACATCCTTAAACAGCTAAAGTCATTTACAGACGTGCCAGGTTATAGACGGGCATGACACCTAATTTCGGTATGTGACACCTTCTGCATCCCAAAAGGTCCTTGCATAGAAAACCTGGTAATTGTAGATGACAGGGTATGTGAGATATACCCTCCTGACAATGTGACACACTGACTGACAGCTGACTGACAGACTGACCAACAGATGGAGTGGAAACCCCTCTAAGATCTAGCTGTATCCAGTGGGAGACTTAACTACCCCCTGTGATAATCTGTCGACATTCTAGTCTACATACATCTTATCAAACATAAACTAACGATACCAGATTGTACTGACTGTATGTTGTTACATATAATTGATTCTGATAAATGTAAACAGTCAATAGTTTTGCTTCATCAAATTGTCACCCTACAACCCCCTATCTCAAAGAGTTTAAAAACAACTATAATTTAGATACAGTAGAGACATGGATTCTGCCTGTCTAAATTAAAATGCCTAGGGAAGTGTCTATAAGAGGGCCAGTAGAGAAGGGTTAAGATAGTATCTTAATTATGTATAGTCAATTATAAGATTATACTTAACACAGCTTAACACAAACCTGTCAATGACATTTCAACAATTTTTAAATCATGTCTGCTCAATTACAAATATTCAAAAATCTTCAGGAATTTGAGGTACTTGAATATAAGTCAATTACAAATGACAGGAAAACAAGCTGTTTTTGGAAAAGGAGGTGAATAGGGACATGACACTTATAAGTACATAAGTACCTATATATACTGTGTAGGTTTGATGGTGTATGGGTTTGTTATACAGCAGAGAAACAATAATGTATACAACACGAGACTAAAACACAAGACATACTTGAGGTTTGGACCCTTTATATACCACTTCTCATATCCAAGCACCACTTTACAAAGTACAGGATAACAAGCACAAGATTATATTCAGGATCCATTCATCTTACTACTCGCACACAAACTTGACGCAACATCAAGGACCAGATCTTAATAGGGATCTTAATGTGTAACAGACTTAGCTAATATTATAAAGGATGTTACGCAATGAAGAGCATTCTATTTCTGGCAAGACGATCACAACAAAATTGATAACGCACACAAGATTTTAAACATCAGTGGTTGTTAAAACTGAACTAAAGTATAAATGTACCTTTTAAAGAAACTTTTTACCTTCTAGGGTAACTTTATTCATCATTGGCAATTTAATATCTTACATTTTAAAGTAAGATCAACGAACAAAATTATTTCAATGAATGGATATCAAATAATCATTAGGTATTAATTTTGAGGATCTTGTTATGTCCAATTTGTA